TTGCTAAGGATGTAACTCCAAGACTTGCATTTATATAGAATACAATGTGATTAGTGGCTCCATTTCCAGTTGTGCAAGATGGTGTCAGGGATAAGTGGGCTGTCCCAGGGCTAGGCTTAAACACTACATAGTGGCAAATCCCTTCTAGCTGGATAATGAACTTCTGGTTACTGTTCTAAATTTATTCTGTCCCTCACCTTCTTTACATAATTTATTCTTTTTGTTTTGTTTAATTTAATTAATTTATTTATTTAGTCTTTTAGACAGGGTCTTTCTATATAGCCCAGGCTTGTTTTAAACTCACCATGGAGCCCAGGCAAGCCTTAAACTCATGACAGTCTTCCTGCCTGAGATTATAGGCATGAACCACCACGCCCAGCCATAGTTTGTTCTCTTATGGGCAACAAAGGACTTTTCTCACAACACAACCAAATCATTCAAATTCAATTTGAGTACCATAGAAGATGTAGTAATGATGGTTTCAATAATTTTATAGATTAGAGGCTGTCTACAAACCTCCTAGTACATTGCTCAGTCAGCTGAGGTACAATCCCTATTCTATCATGATGCATCCTCGGGCAAGTTACTTTATCTCTGAGTACCAGTTTCTTCATCTGTTAATAATGATGATAATACCTATGTTTAAGGGCTATGAAGAGTTTTTTAAAATGACAAATCCACATGTATTTCAAGTGTTTTTTCTGTCATATATATTTATTTGAGCTTGTCAACAGAAAAGGTCACATAATGACCAACACAGTAGCAATGATCAACTCTAATGGCCACAATGTACTTTTTTTTTTTTTTAGCAATGGGAATTGAACCCAGGACCTTTAGTCTGAGCTACATTCCTCACCCTTTTTATTTATGTATTTACTTTTTAAATTTTTTATTAGTACATGTTTGCCGTATATAATGTTTCCATTTCTTCTGTGGAGTTGGCACATATACATAACACATCCCAATTTCATTTTTCATCCCTTTTTCTCCCCTTCCTCCTCCTCCCTCCACTTCTTGATTACCTTCCCATTTGAGAAAGATCTATCTCCCTACTTCCTATTATCTATCTTCTATTTTGCTCTTTATTTATAATTTGAATTTCTCATGTAAGCAGAAACCATGTGATATTTAAGCTTGTGTATCTGATTTATTTCATACAAACAGTGTATCTCAGTGTTTGATACATAGCAAGAACTCAGTATATTTTACCCATTGTTTTTTGTTTTTGTTTTTTGAGACAGAGTCTCACTCTGTAGTTTAGGCTGACCTTCAACTCACTATGTAGTAGTATGGCCTCAAACTCATGACAATCCTCCTGCCTCAGCCTCCTGAGTGCTGGGATTACAGCCATGCACCACCACACCCAGCTCATTTTATCCTTTGTTATCCCAAGTGATAATTTATAATTTAAATGTACAGATTCTGGGAAAGAAACTATCAAACTGGTGTATTTAGGGGAGATGAAGGAGTTGATTGACTTCTATTTTAGTCCATCTTACATTGCTGTAACAAAGTAGGGCACTGAGACTGGGTAATTTATAAAGAAAGAGGATTCTTAAGCTCATAGTTTTAGAGGCAGGGAAGTTTGAGGTCACACAACTACATCTGGTGAGAGCCTCATACTACATCATAACACAGCAGATGACATCCCATGGCAGGAACACATGTAAGAGCAAGGAGAGAATGTGTGTGGAAGGGAGGTCACATGAAAAGAGAGACTGAGGAGAGAGGCCAGGCTCACTTAATAAGAACATACACTCTTAAGAAATAATCTATATCTGTGACAGTGAGAAGTCATTCCTTTGAGACAAAAATGTTAATCCTTCTTAAAGGCCTAATACCCCTTAAAGGTCTCACTACTTTCTACTGCCATTTTATTGGAGACCAACTCAACATGAGTTTTGGCAGGCACAAGCCACATCCAAACTATAGCAGCTCATTTGCCTTACTGCTATGAATAGGACTCTGTTACACATATAGATTTTCTGTCATTGTTGCTCATTCCTATGGTTGAAAGACTGAGGTCCTGTGAGGACAGAGATATCATGCAGTTTAATATCTTTGACACACAACAGACCAGAACCATGTCCCTCTCATACTACTCCAGAGAAGAGGTTGCTCCTGGAGTGTTCTGGCTCTCCAATCTTGCTATGACAGAGAAAGATTGGGGCTGGAGGAAGTGAGAAGAGAAGCATGAGGCTCTTGATGATGGCTCAGCTTATAGCCCATACTTTACACTTCATTATGTGTCTTACCTTTGTGCCTTCTACAACACACACAGAATAGATTATTTTTGAAAAAGTTTGGACTTTATTATCTTTGAGAGTATAGGAATAAATTTGAGGTGTTTATGCATATCAGCCCAGAACCACCTTTCTGCTGTGCCCAAAACAAAGTTGGAAGTCCCCCCACTTCCATCGGACACATTCGGTGGCTCATGTTATTTTGTGTGATGTCTCATTTCCCAAGTCTTTCTTGACCCTCATTTAGATCCGCTTTCACCTGTGAATGAATGTAGGCATACTTTTATGATGAGTGTTAAGATCCATCAGGTGTGCTGTAGATTGGTCTCTTAAGCAGCCAGGAAAATCAGGAGTGACAGTCAAGATCACAATAAATAAGGCTGGCCCAGGCAGATATGTTGCTGGCAACAAATAACCAGTTGGGACTGACCAGTGCACACCAGTGCTGATTATTACCTCGAAGAGAGCCATGATATTATTTTGATATTTGATTAGAATTAAAGATTTACTAAGGATTTTTTTCATTAACATCTCTCCCAGGCAAGTAATTATCACTATGTCTACTGAGGTTATTCCTGATGTTGGGTCAACTTGTTATTCACTCATTTCACAAACATTTATTTGATACCTGCTATGTGTTGGACATTTGGTTCTCTAGAGTCTCTAGGGGCTCCCAGTCCACTGGGCTCTTTTCTCCATGGAGAGCTGCCTTCATTCTTGCTCACTTCTTATGGTTGAAAGTATGAGGTTCTATAAATAAGGGATATTGAACAGTTCCGTGTCCTCGTCACAACATAGACCAGAAATAGAGACACTTTATAATCACAACGATACCTTTTCTAGTGAGCATAAATATGAGGCACAGGTGCAGACACAATGAAGTCACCCTGGAGGTGTTAACAGGGGCTGCACAGAGAACATCTCAATTGGGGTTTGAAGGTAGAATTCATCAGCAGGACCTGGAAAAGGAATGTTGGAGGATTGAGGGGGTGTTTCAGGCAGAGGGGATGAAATAGTCCAGCTCTTTGGCTTCACAGATGATGGGGCACATGCTTGAAGAACTACATGAAATTTACTATAGCATGAAGAAAGAATACTGGGAGATGAGATTGTAGAGAATGTCATGAACCAGAAAGGCAAAGCTTTGCTTTTGTCATCTTGAGAAAGTTCTCTACATGTGCTGACTCTGTTTCATTAATTGCTATTTCCTTTTTGCTCATTGTAGTCTATCAACTTGCATCTTACTCTGTGACTCTAAATCAAATGCACACCTCCATAGCTTTAGCTTACTTGGCGTATCAGCAGAGTATCATTTTGAAACACATTTTCCATCTTCAAAATTTCATTTTCCCAAAATTATAAAGTACCAGTATCTTGTGGATTTTGCTATTTTTCTTGGCTTGTCTTTATGATCTCTTTCTCTCTGACTGATCCTTAAGTGTTGTGCATCCTCAGAGTTTGTCCTTGATATTTTTAATCTTGGAGGAATTAATCTTCATTTTCAAGCTCTTCACAGCTACTCTCTTCATCTTTCATTATTTCTCACAAGGATCATTACATCCATATGCACAAAATGCTCTCCTTGCTTCTAGTTTTCCCCCTTCCCATTCTTCACATTGCTGCTACAGTGATCCTTTTAAATGGAAATCTGATAATACCATTTCTTCACTTGAAACCATAAGGATTGAATTGTGGCATATAGAACTCTTGGTGATCTGACCCTTGCCTTGGCTATCACAGACCCAAGTAGAACAAGCGCTTTGCAATTCTGAAAATCTGACATTATATACATAGTTTAATTTCTGAATCTTTCTGAATATTGCTTCTTCTGTCTGGAAGCCTCTTAGCACCAACTCCCCTTGCAACTGAATTCACTTGTCTACCTTTTGTTATTTAATTTTTTATTAGTAAATGTTTGCGATATGTAAAAACTACACTCAACATGAGGAATTGGTGGATATACATATCATATCGTGAACCTTTGTTATCCCCCCACATCTCCTCCATCCCCATATCTCTTTCCCATCTCCACAAAATCTATCTCCATTTCCTATCATCTATTATTTATTTTCCTCTTTGAATTATTTATACCTTTTTCCTAATATTCAATCTAGAGATACCTTCTTCCTCCTCCTCCTCCTCTCTCCTCTCCTTAAATCTAGGTGATTCTTCCCGTTTCTTGCTATCTGGGTTACCTCAATCAGAGCACATTTAACTCTGCATTGCCAGTATCTGTTTACATCTGTCTGTCTCCAGGAAGGCAGTGTGGGGGAGAAAATAATAATGATAATGTGACTAATATAATGCTAATGGCATGGCAGGCCCTGATGGAAGCATTTGCTATATGTTAATTCATGGAATCTTCACAACATACTGGGAAGTAGATAGCTATTACTGAAGTTAAATCAGCAGGAGTTGGTGATGGATTGAATGTGGGGGCAGAGAAGAAGGAGTCTCAGTAGTTCCAAGGTTTCTGATTGTAACAAGTGGGCAAAACAGTGGATAGAAGTGACATCTACTGAGATAAAGAGTACAAGTACAGGAGTTCTAGTTGGAGTGAAAGGAAGGAAATTTTTCAATTTGAAGGCTTGCCTTTCTTTTATAACTGATATTTCCAGAAGCTTCAGAAATAATGTGAGTAACAAACCTTTTCCTCTGATTGACAGGCATTTGGAAACACCACTGTTTGTCTCAGGAGAGCAGAATAACCCTCCAGTGTCTCATTATTGGCTTGCTGGAAACAGGAGGGCTACGTTCATGGGATCTTGCCTTATGCTTCGGTTTGTGATTCCCAGAAGATTTGCAGGATGTCACGGCCTTGCATCTTCCAAACTCCAGTGGTGCTTGTGTCTGCTGACCCTTACATCTCTTCTGCAGCAGGTCTGGACAGTCCCCTACAATATGGGGGTTGTAGGCCCTTGGACTTGTGATCCATTGTTCTCAAAGGCTTTGCCTGAGGTTGCTGCTCGACTAGCAATTGAACGAATCAATCGGGATCCTTGCTTTGACCTCGGTTACTCTTTTGACTATGTTATTCTCAATGAAGACTGGTCAGACTTCAAAGGCTCTCTCCAGTTTCATTTCCCACCACCAGATGGCCTCAGGATTTATTGGACCTGCCAACCCTGGCTACTGCGAGGCAGCCTCGCTCCTGGGAAACAGCTGGGACAAAGAGATTTTCTCTTGGGCTTGTGTGAATTATGAATTAGACAATAAAAACAGCTACCAGACCTTTTCTCTGACACTCCCTGTTCCCATTCGGGTACTCGTAACTGTCATGAAATATTTCCAGTGGGCTCACGCTGGAATCATTTCCTCAGATGAAGATATTTGGGTGCACACAGCCTATCGAGTCGCAAGTGCTCTTCGGAGCCACGGCCTACCTGTAGGGGTCGTCCTGACCGCAGGACAAGACAGCCAAAGCATTCGGAAAGCTCTCCAGCAGATTCGCCAGGCAGACAGAATTCGCAGTGAGTGCTTGTTCGCTCCTGGCTAGGGTTTAAACGTGGCTTCAGTGAAAGATAAGACAACAAAGGTTTTCTGCCCTCACACCTAGGTTAGCACATTCCTCCCTAGTTATTTATGCCTTTACCCTCTTTCACTCACTCTCAAACCCCAAGACTCCCGTTTCCACCCGTTTCCATAGAGCCTTATGGACTCAACAGAGGTACAAATACTCTGTGGCTTATATTGCTTGCTCTCAGCACGGGGATAGGGATGAATGGCATCAGAGTACTTTAGCCACACACCTTCTCTGTTTTTAGGACTGTGATAGTTTCACAGGAGCCAAAGGAGGGTGTTCTTATGGCTTTGTTTTTATCTGTTGTAGTCACTGAGAGATTTGCCTTAGACTTCCTTCTAGGCGCTTTCCTTCATAGGTACCTAGTGCCCTTGTGTTATCACATTTCACTTAGAAACTACCTGCTTTGGACTTTCAAATATTTCCCTTCCTCCAAACCAGGGCTTTTCTCCCTGCAGCATGAAGCTAATTGACAGGGAAGGCACCTAGCTGATAAATGAAAGCATATCAAAATAAGAAGATCACTTAACGATTAACAGGTTTTCTCTTACAAAGTAAATTTTATGATCAAAGATGATTCTTGCAGAGACAATAGGAAATAGAGCAAAGGACCAAGGCAAGCTGGATGGATATTTATCTTTTTGGAGAGGGGAGTTTCTTGCCCTCTGGAATCACATCTTTTTCTTGCACTTACAGCAAGCCCTTGTGATCCTTGGTTTTGATTTCTTTTTCTATTCCAATTTTTAAATCTCCACTTTACCTTGCTCTGGAAGTGGCAGTGATTTGTGGGAACACTGCTCATTCCCCTATTACAGCCACTCCACCACTTTAGGACAGATAGCTCAGAAACTACTTGTCAACTGATTACTTCTAGCATTAGTCTTGGTCCTAGTCATTTCCTTAACATAACAATGGACTTCTTAGAAAATGGCCCAGCTTAGTCCTGGTTTATAACCAGAAGCCTATTTTAAGTTTCAAGTGTCTCCAGTATTGGACCTTAATTATGATCATTATGGGAGGATGAGGGCAAAAGGTTTTAGTTTCATGAGCTACAATAGTCTGCTTCCAGCTCTAGTCTACAAGATTCTATAATGTTAAGCAACCAGTGTGGATTTGATTACTTCATAATAAAGCTTGATATTTTCAACACAGAACACTGAATTATTTTTAAAGTTATAAAACCTTTTCTAAGGAGGAACCCTGCCAGAAACAAGGTAACATATTTAGTATCATAACTTTATAATATGTTACAAAACTTCCTGAAGCCTAATGTCTCTTGCAAGTTTACATTCCATAAATGTTTCACATCCCACCCATTCTAAACAGTATACTTTGCAACCACATTTTGGCCTCTACCGTGAAATGTTAGCTAAATCTAGGCCCTGAAGCTCTTTGGGCTGTCAAACTGAGAGGAATTAGATTATCAGACTGAGAGGAATGAGGACTGAGCACTCACTATCCACAAGTCCTTTGAGGCAGGGAGGTAGCAAACATACATATTATTGCCCTATCATTAGGCATCTATTTATTTAAATCAAGCGTTCTCTAGATGCATCCTGGAATTGCCAGGATGTGTTTCCAAAATGCCTAGTGCCAAAGCACCATTACCAGAAGTTCTGATTGAGTTGGTTTGTAGTGAGGCCCCAGCAAAGTTATTTTAAATAGCTTCTCAGATGCTTTTTAAGTACAGCCAGAGTTGAGGACCACTGCTTTAAGTTAAGGAAAATGTAAACAAATGTCTTTTACTTGAAGTGACCTGTCATTTTTTGTCTTAATATGATTATGGTTAGTTGGATTGTTTTCACTGTAACAGTATGGATCAGTCTACTGAAAAAATGAGAATTTTAAGATTTGGGGGGAAATCCAAAAAAGAATGGTTTTGGAGCATATATATATATATATATATATATATCTCCTGAGTAGTGAGGACAGCAAAAGAACATGGAGGAGAGACTCAGAAAGAGACAGAAAGGTAGTTAGAACAAAGCTCTTCAGTCCAGGATTTTTTCTTCTGATTTCTAAACATAAGTGGATTTAGATGAGGCATACTGGGACCTCAGTGACATGAGTCAGAATGTGAGTGGGGATAGGAACAGGGAAGGTGAGTTGTCAGTTGGGCTGTGGACTGAGTATGACCCCAGGCTGCTCAATGTATGATATGTGATTGAAAACTATGGCGAATGTTTAAATTTAAAAAAAAAGAACAGTAAAAGACACATTGTCATTAATCCCCCTCACAATACTCTCCCTTTCTTTGAGCACACTTATCCTATTATTCTTGTCCCTTTCTGAAGCAGTTCAGGAAGTCCTCTTTTGTGTCTTTAGTTGCAGTGTTGTGGCTAACTTGACGTCCTGAATCAATTTAAAATATTTACTTTTGCTAGTCATTTTGACTTTGGGGAAGAGCTAGAAGTTCCACAGTGCCAGAGCCAATGAATAAAGGTGGATGAGGATATACCATAATGTTTTTATGAACCTGCTTTTCTGTTGGATGGCATTTTGGCAGCATTATTCACTGAATTTTTATTATATCTCATAAAGACACTCATGAGGACTTTCAGACTGCTTCAGAAAGTGTCAAGAATGATGTGATAAGTATGTCCAAACTGAGGGGGAGTACTTTGAAGGCATTAGTGGCAATGTCTTTTACTGAAATAAATTTTAAAATTTAAGCATTCATTGTATGTTTTGATCATCCCTTGTACAATTTTCAAAGGAGTGTGTTGGGGCCAGGGATTTATCTCAGTGGTGCCTCCGCCTGCCTTGCAAGGACAAGGTCCTGAGTTCGAGTCCCAGTACCAAAAAAAAAGAGTGTATTATACCCACAATTGGTATATCCAGGTGTTAGTATCTGAGGGGATGCACATTGGTGGGTGAGGTGTGGCAGTACGACCTGTGGAAGGGGAATGAATGTTAAAATAAAATAGTCCTTGTGCTTGTTGTCCATTCGATCATTAATTGAGAACAGTGTCTTAGACAGTGGGAGCATGAGAAGCAGGACCCAGAGAATGAATAAAAATAGAATGATTTGGGCTATAGTCAAGTGGCCTAGGATTCAGAGTGTATCTCTGGTCAAAGTAGAAAACTAGAGATCAGATGTGAAATAACCAGAAGCCAGTGAGTATGGATCAGACCAACTTTGCAGTGAAGAAGGTTGCAACACATCAGACAGAGCACATGCCAGATCAAATCTCTAGCTAACTTTTCAGTTCCTCTCAGCTGGTGGGACTGAGCTTGGCATGTACTCCTGGCTGTTACCTATCTTGACTGAGAAGAACTAAAAAGGCACTGGAATTTTTGTGTGAGCGCAGCTCAGAAGGACTGGTGAAGGCAGAATTTGCCTATTTTGCTGCCTATGAAGCTACTTCTTTTGTTTTTCCCCCATTTACTTTATTGGTACATTTTAGGTATAAAATACAGTTACAGTCATCATTGGGATCTTGTACCATTACATGAGTCTCTTGGTTCTTACTTTTTTTCCCCTTCCCTTGCCCTCCCTTCACCGCCTCCACCCTTCCCTATTTGCAAAGACCTTGTTTCCATTTTTTTCCTCTTCTCATATGTTTTCCTTTACTTTTTTTTCCCTTCCCCTACCCCTTCCAATTCCCCTGCTCTTTTAGACCTTTTCTTCCTGTTACACAATATCAGTTATACATTTTTTAAATTACAAT